TCCGAAACCTTCTTCCACTTGTCCCGTGGTTCGGCTTGAACTGCGTCCCCGCGGCGATGCCGGCCCGGAAGCAGCACCCAGCAGCGGCAAGCGGCGATCTCTGCTTCAGCTCGCCAGCCGCAGACCCCTCGAACTCCGACTTCCCTGCTCGCGCTGCCCGGCCGTCTTGCGCGTGCGCACGGCCTGGTCGACGGCTGTGTCCGACCTCGGTGTCGTCGTCGCTGCTGCTGCTGCTGCCGCCGGCGCCGCCCGGGGTATCGGCTGATCCTCCGGGCCCCGGCCCCCGCCCGCGGCGGCCTTGTCGTTGTCGGCGGCCTCGCGGGCCTGGGCGATGGCCAGCTCGGCGGCGAACCAGTTGATGGCGCGCCAGAGGCCGGCGCAGAGGACGGAGAGGATGACGAAGTGGATGGAGCGGGTGGCAGCGAGGAGGGCGAGGAGGGTCAGCTGGAGGGCGGCGAAGCTGGCGTTTGTGGCGTATAGGAGGGTTGGTGTTGTGCCCGGGGTGAAGACTGAGTTCCAGAGGTTCTCTGCGAAGGAGGCCATGATGGGCGGCTTGGGATGTGGATACTGAGCGACAAAGCGACAGCGACAAGGAGGTCGGGTCTGTCGGGGAGCAAGGAGCTGGGCGGCGGGGCGTTTGTCGGCGGGATGAGTTGGTCGCTGCGTGCTACGTGGTCTAATCGTTTTCGTCGACGGTATTGCTATGTAGAGGGGTTCTTCGTGGCTCGCTGCGTCCGTGGGGGGGTTGCGGGAGATTCGCAAAAGGGAGAAGAGGGGCAGAGGTTGTCGTGCGCGACAGATGCAAATGCGATGCGATGCGATGCTATGCGCAAGGCTGCCTAGTTTTTGCTGCCCAAGGTATATATATATATATATATGGGTGGATCGGGGGCGACAGCAACGTGGTTTGAGCTGGTAACGAGACGGCGTGGGAGTCAAGCTTGGCTCGGTTGAGAATAGGCCAGCAGGTCGATTTGACTGACAGTGACGCGGAGGACAGTTTGTGTATTGAGAGTCGTGGCGGGTGCGATTGACGGCATCAGAGGCGGAGGAGGCAGAGATGGAGGGGCTGGTAGTCGCCTGGCACCTGATGATGTACGCGCCGCCCGATCCCCTGGCCACGGCACGCTGCCTATAGGGCGGGTACGTACCGCTCTGATGACGGAGGAGTCGCTCACGGTCATGGCGCCGGCTCAGTACAGGCCTCAATGCCGGCTCAAGTTTGAGGCGAGGCCTCTTTGCGACTCCATGTTGGCAACGTGCCCAACTCCAACAGTGCATGTCCATGCCATGTCCAGTGGGCAAAAGGATCCGTGTTCATGGAGGACATCTTGGTGGCATGCATCCAGTCATATGTTCTTGGCAGCTTTCGCTGATCGGGTTCATCTGAGCATGGCACTTCGGCTGCGTCGCGACTTGGCTGTCGATCCTGAAACGAACATCGAACTCTGAAGAGGAGGCTTGCGCCGGCTTACTCTCACCGGGTCCTGGAGGGCCAAATGGTCACGAGAGCCGGTGTGGGGAGCTTCAGATTGAGTGATGATCATGGGGTCCTGTTGATGGCTGTCTTGTCTGTCATTTCGTCGTCTGGGCATCCATGGCTACTCTCCAGCCAGCACCTCACGTTGAAAAGACATGTCACAGCGCTCATTCCAGGGGGTGGGGTGCTGGGGCACTGTGACGCTGGGGACGACGGGAGCGGTCGGTGGGTACCTGTCGTCTTCTTTCCACCAGATACCTTACCTTACCTACTTACCTGCCTACCTGCCTTGCCTACCTAGGTACCTAGGCTGGTACAGTCGGGCTATACCTATGTACTTAGGCAAGGTAGACCTGTCGGTTCGCCATGCTCTCTCGTGCCATGGTCCCATTCATTCCTGCGATGAGCATCTCGATAACGGGCAGACAAAGGAGGTCGGAAAACAGGACCAGTAGACCGGTACCTGCGTGTCGTCGTCGAGTCAGTCGTAGGCACGCTGCTCGGCAGTCTCACACCCATCGCGCTGGTTCCAGCTGAAGAGAAAAGCACTCTGGAAGCTGAACCCCCCGCTAAATACGCTCTTGGGTGGAGTCGCATCCCCCCCCCCCTCCCCATGTGAGCCCGTGCCAGCAGAAGCGGGACGTCCGGAGACGGCCTGGCACGAGTCCACTTGACCCCCCAGCACCCAATGAGAGGACGTGATGTGGCACCCCAGCATAGCACCCCTACCTGGGCTACCTGGGAGGCAGGTGTCCCGGCCGCCTTAGTGTCTCGGTGTGCCGGCCTTGGGTGGACCCACCGTGGCCCACCGCAAACTGTCTGGACGCTTCTGGATGCGCCTTCTGCTGGCCCCGTCGCAGCCTCAACAGCAACAGCACCATCGACAGCGACAGCAACAGGAACAGCACGCACTGCACGCTGCACGTCGCATGCTGCACGCTGTGCACATTGGCCGGAAGCACCACCAGGCACCTCCAAGCACCACGCACCCTTGCGAGACAAGGCACGCCCGATGACGGGACCGGGCTCCCTGACCCCAACCCATCTCAACCTGAGGTGACTGAACGTCCATTTCGAGAAGGACGAGCAAACCGAACGCCCTGTTTCCCCAGCCACAAGGTTCGCCCGCCGCGAGCACGAGCACGAGCACGAGCACAACCGCAAGCACAACCGCGAACACAACCGCGAACACAACCGCGAACACGAGCTTGAACCCTCTCTCTCTCTCTCTCTCTCTTGCCTTCCGACCTGAACCTGCGAGTGTATCATCATCGCCTGCTAGATCCTCGCATTTCCAGCCCGCGTCGGACGGACAAGAACAGTCAACCTACAATCACAACCGCAGCTTTCTTCTCCTGCATCACGTATTCTGGTTCATCCCGCCCGTCGCCGCCGTATACCCCTTCCCCTCCTCCCTCCCCCGAAAGACGACGAGAGCTTCACTCTGCATCGCCAACTTCTTCTCTCCTGGGGACCTCTCCCCTTCGACCCAAGTTCCCAATCGTACTACCCTCCGCAATTGATCCAAGAGCATGAGCTCCCGTCCACCCATGATGGCCACGGCGACGTCTTCCCAGTGCCCCGATCAGCCACCGGCCCACGACCCGTCATCACTGTTACACACGACCGATGTCGTGCCACCAACGGCACCCGACGAGCAACGCCCACCCTCCCAGGCCGACGGCCAGCTCCCGCCAAATCACACAGAAGATGCCGCCATGGCCCTGCGCAAGCTGCTCAAAGGCAAAGAAGAGGAGTGGAGTGCCGTCTCGAGGCGCACCGGTCGATTGACCCTGCTCGAGCTCCCCTTTGACATATTGCGGCTGATCGTCAACGAGGTATGTCGCTGCCCGTCTCCCCCATGCTCTCTCCCGTCGCCTTGCCTCTTCCCGAAACAAAACCGCTCTCCCAACGCAACATGCAGCGCCGTGTTTGCTGACGCTCGCATTCGTTTCCCCAGATCACACATACAAACGACCTGACCTCCCTCGCCTTGACGAATTCGACCCTTCACAATCTCGCCGTTCCACACATCTACTCTCGCTTCGATATCGTGTGGCCTGACGCCACCCAGCTTGCCCAATCTGATTCCAAAAGCGTCGATGCCCTCACCTATGGCTTATCAACCCTCTGTCTGGGCAGCAACTTTGCCGTGCGCGCCCAGAAGATGTTCTCGCCGAAGCCCAGGGGCGGACCGCCTCCCATGGCACGCCTGCATAACGACTACGCTCGATACATCAAAAAGTTCTCCTTGGGCAACGGCCCCGATGACTGGGTCGCCGAGTACATGATTACAAAGGAGAGCGGCAAAATGCTGGGAACCCTCGTCGCCCTGGCCGTCGCCAAGATGGCAAGCCTCGAGACCTTTGTCTGGGACATGCCCACCGGCGTCCTCTCCGACATCTTCATGGCCTTGGCCTCCATTCAAGACCGCAATCCGGATGAGCAGTCCAAGCTCGAGCGCGTATGGGTGCGCTGGCACGACAACGCCGATGCGTCGGCCTCCTCGTCCTCGACCAGCCCCAGCTCGTCCATAGAGACACAGGGCGTCGTGCCCATCGGCAGTACCTTGACGCCCATCGGCATTCTCATTCCGTCGACGGCATCGCATCCTCGCCCCAGAGCGCCTATCCCTTTCGCCGAAAGCCGCGTCGAGTTTCCGACATTCAGTGTCCTGCCACCGCTGAGGAGTCTGTCTGTTCTTGACATCGATGAGCTCTCTTATCTCGATGAGCTCGCTGTTGCCATCGGGAACTCGCACGAGAACCTGGAGGAGCTGCGCGTGGGCATCTCCGCCAAGGCGGCACACTCCGACTTTGTCCAGACGTGGGA